ACTTACCGAGCGCCTATATTTCAATCAGTGCTTTCTGATTAGCGCGGATTGTGCGGAAGCGAGGAGGGATCCGTTCGGTTTACCGCGTCTCGGCACGCTCATCCAGACGGCGCTCGGGATTCACCGCAAGTATACGCACATGCACTGCAAAATGGCGAAAATACATTTAACAAAAGCATCTTGTGTTGTTTAATTATAGGATTCAAAAGCTGTTGATATTTTTTCTATACATAAATAAAAATTTTGTATCATCATGTAAAAGTTCTTTTGCTGCATCAAATAGTCGGCTGTTATTATTTTCGATGTAAGGATGACGCCAATAAGTTTTTTTTACGTACGCGGAGATACAAACAACACGCCAAAATATCATCATCACTCGAACTCGAAGACGACATCTCTCCATAACACGAGCCGTACTGCAGAATTTCATACCGAGAATATACCGAGTTATCCGTAGATGGGAGCAATGCGGTATTGATTCGGTAACAGAGCATACCGCCGCCGCGGCGATACCGCACCGACAAATCAGAAAACGGCCTTAGTCGAGTAAGATCTTTAGACGGTATTCGGATTGATTGCTCTAAGTTAACAGGGAAAATCCCATGCAACAGTGAAGCTTTAAATGAAATGACTAGATAACGAAATGATTCGTAAGATACCACATCTCCACAAAAAACTAATTGATAAATCGAACTAAAAATTGGCCATCTACTACTGTAATATAAACTCTTTGCAATTAGAAATTATTTTCTACTTTTTATTTCGGTTAGCTATAGAAGCGTGTTGTTTTAGATTTTCTAAATTATTATTTATTACTGTTCGTCAATGATTTCCCTAAATTTATGCCTTCTGCGCATGTCATTATGTTTGCGGATGACATATTGCTCAGTACCTAGGGGATATCGTAGCATTACAAGCTATTAGGGACATTTTTTGACAGTAAGTTATCCTTTATCAAATATGTTGATCACGTATGCAACAACCTGAATATAGCCTATTATGCCTTGTTGCAGCTTAAATACATACTTAATGACAACGGCTTGCCCAGTGTCAACTCCGCGCTTCCACATAGTCACCTGTCAAACAACGTTATGACATGGGTAACTCCATCGAAAGTGATAGAGTATTTATTATTCAGAATCAATTGGTGATACTAATATTTAACATACAGTAATGGACAAAAGTATATAGACAAATATGAATATTTACCTAAATACCTTTAGAAAACGAATTCATACTGCATTGCACCATAAACAAATGCGTTATCAGTAGAAAAACTAAATTCCTTGTCTTTACATTATCTGCAATGAACACAATACGAGTCTGAATATAAGCACTTTTTTATGAGTGACAAAAATATGTAGACAAATTCTTTTCAAAATTAGTTTAGTACAGTTTCGTGTCAGAAGAGGATTAGTTTGTGTTCATCAAGTATTGTGGAACAAGTTGAGTGATTTTAAGACCATGCCGCGTGGTCCAGAAATTTCAATCGATGTGAAAACTAAGATCATTGAGTTATACAAAGATGGTCAACGTCAAGTCGACATTGCCAAAAAGTTGAAGCTGAAGCGTAAAGCAGTTTGGGCAATATTGAACAAATAAAAGAAAAATGTATCTTGGAAGCCTCTAAGAGAAGTGGTCGGCCTAAAAAACTAAATGCTAGATCAGTTAGCTTAATAAAAGTAATTTCGTCCAAAGATCCGTTTAAAATCCCAAGACAAATAAAAGCCGAAACCGAGACAAAAGGAATTGTCAGTGTTTCTACGGAAACTATAAGTAGAAGATTAAATGATTTGAAGTTATTTGCACGTAGCCCGAGTATGAAGCCTCTAATCTCGAGGAAAAACCGTAAGGACCGATTACAATTTGCACGGTTGCATCTTGTCAGTCACAGATGCTCCACTGTGACTGGAAGAGGATATGTTTCAGTGACGAATCCAAGTTCAATATGTTCGGATCAGATGGTGTTCATTACGTTAGACGTCCTAGTGGACAAAGATTGACCCCCAACTCCACTTTGCCCACTGTCAAGCATGGAGGCGGGTCTTTTATAGTTTGGGGTGGCTTTCGGGGTTTGGAATGAGACCTTGTATACACAGACATACTAAAGCATGTCATCCTATAGCACACTTCAAATCTCGCAAAGAAATTCTTTCTGGATGAAAAAATACCAGTTCTCAAATGGCCTTCACAGTCTCCCGATATAAACATCATTGAAAATCTATGGGAATACTTAGATAAGCAAATACGAGATAAAAATTATTCAAACAAGGATGAGCTTTTTGCCGCTTTAGAGCAAAAGTGGAGTCTGATTGATGTATCTATCAAGAAACTTCTACAATCTATGCCGAGACGATGCCAGGCGGTGATTGATAATAATGGTTACGCTACAAAATTTAACACAAACATGGTTGGTTTTCTATAATTCAATGAACTTTGCTTCTTTTTTCTATAATTGTTTTGCTTCGTCTATATATTTTTGTCCTTCATAGTTCCAGTTTTTTTTAATTAATTTTTTATTGAAGGGAGTCTAATGAATTTACTTATGTGAGTATTATGCTATAACGAATTATGTATACGTATACACAGACTGATGTATTAATAAAACAAGTTAAAAAAGAAATACAGCACAATATTAATTTGTCTATATACTTTTGCCCATTACTGTATATTGCAGAGATTTGTTTAAGCAGAGCAACATTCCCACACTTTCTTCTGTTTATATTCCCAGATGTGTGAGTTTTTCAAGAGGAAATGATAATCTATTTCCTGACCTGTGACAAAATCATCAATATAACACCCGAAGCTACACCTAATACTACAAAAAGTCTTCGTACAATTATTGTATCGTCTTATTTAACAGTTTACCGGTTTTCAAAAAATTGCAATAGTAGTAGGATTGTGTGAAAATTTCATCGAAATCAGAGGGGTATTTCTCAAGTTATCAGATCACCAGACAGACCGAGGGAAATGATTGACATGGTTTTTTGTGATGTACATGTCAGCTAATATTATCCAAGAAAACAAACTATTTGATTTACAAAAAACATATTTCTTTGTGGAAAATATCAAACACATGGTCAAATCATCTAAATATAGGTAAAACTGAAGGCTGTGTGGCTGTTTTGTCCATTATGCACGTAAAAAAGTTCTGTCTTTTTCAACTTTGTAATTTATACTAAGTGACAAAGAAAGGTAAACACCTACGTATGTTTATACGATTTTAGTAATTTTTGGCATATATGTTCAGTGTCCCTTACTAGTAAAATGATTAAATTTTCAGCTTGATTCGTCAACTGGCTACTGCAACTTCGTCAGTAAGAGCTGCTAAAGTCTGTGGAGGGTGTTGCAAATCCAAGAGCCTGCGACCTATCATGTCCAAGAGATATTCAATTGGAGATAGGTTTGGCGATCGTGGTGGCCAAGGTAAACGGTTGATGCGGTGTTGATCCATGAAGGCTAACGATGCTCTGGCAACATGCGATCTGGCATTGCCTTGCTGAAAAATCGGGTTTAGGATGGTGTTTATTTATGGAATAAGATGAGGCTCCACTATTTCCTGAATATAGCGTCGGGTTGTCATATTGCCTCTGATCAAAATAAGTGGTGATCTGCTATCGTAAGTAATAGCACCACATGCCATAACTCTCAAGGTGTGGTGAACAAGACGCTCTCTATCATACTGTGGGAATCGTCTTTCACCACGTCGCCTTCTCACTCTTGCCCAGACAGAAGCAGGATTCGTCACTAAATACCACCTGATTCCATTCCCTGTTCCATAGAAGTATTTCTCTATACTAGAACGAACGGTTACGCTGATGTTCAGCTGTGAGAGGTAGCACCCAATGCGGGCGTTAAGAAAAAAGGGCAAACTGTCGTATTCGTCGATATACCGTACGCATACCAACAATCCTTCCATGCTCTTTAAACTACTGACTAGCGATGGCTCGAGTACTACTGAATCTGTCTCTCAGAGCCAGAAGTCTTAACCGGCGGTTTTGTCGCTCTGTGGTCCCTCTGGGCCGTGCAGAACCCCTCGCTCGCTGTCCTCAGTCTTCCTGACTCCATGCTCATTCACACTGCAGTATACTGCGTAAGGATCTGTTGGTCCTCCTATAAACTTCTCGTATCGATAGACCGGCTTCACGCAACCCGACAATTGACGACCTTGAAGCAAAAACCGGACAAGTCCCTATTACAAAATTGTTGGGAAATTAAAAAAAAAACTGCACAGTATAACACAGTTAGGTTATTATTGATTAGAATAATTTTTTATGTATATTCATAGTTCTTATGGACACTACTACTCAGATTTTAAGACTTCTTTTCAAAAAACAAAGGAGAGGGAAATTTTTGAAAATTTGGACATGTCCGAGTCTTGCCCCAAATAATACAATTTCCATCTTCAATAATACAATAAGATCATAAAATACCTTTTAATTTAAAATTAACCACAAATCAAACGGTAATTATATAAAAGAAGTCTGAGTCATAGGCGGGTTCTTCTGAATTCTCAATATTTTCAAGATTTTCTTCCCCATCAATATCGCCCAATATTTCATTGTAGTACCAATGGTCAGCTTTTGGAACATATTTCTGCACTAAAACCTTGACATCTTTTACTTTTTTCTGGTTGATTTTGAGGGGATAACACTGGTGCATTTTATCATTTGGTAATGACAGGAAGCTATTCGGTTTTCTAGCAGAAAATTTGTTGAATGTTGGAATAACTGTCGATTCACTGCAAATAAACATACCCAGGTGTTCACCTTTTTTTGTCACTCAGTATATATCGGTCGGCCTGTATCGGCATATTGGAGCGATATTGCAGATATGCTGACCGAAAATTTGAAAATATTTATATATTCGTAAGTGCGTGATAATTATCGAGTCAATCTACTTGTCACTATTTTTTTCTTTTCAGATGAAGCGGAAGCCCAGAATTCGAAATTTTGCTGTCTTTGAACTCCTGACCTTTCCGCACGTCCTGAATTTTTAAGCCGAAGCTCTTGGCTGAATTGGGATTGCAAACACTTCTGTGCTGTTTCAGGATTACACCGTGGGGAATTCGGGGCTTTCAATGTAACTGAACTATCGGGTACAATTTGAATGATCTGATATAAACGGAGATGTGATGCGACATCCGGTGGATCAAAGCAAGTTGGATATAGAGGCTGCAGGTGAGATTAATTCAAGCTGTAAGGCGAAATGCTCTTAAGACTATAATGTCTATAATACAGTGGGTTCAAGAAGGATGATAGCATTACGTACTCAAAAAGGTTTGGAATGACATTGTAATTATATTCAGGTAGAAGCTATGGGTCCACTTATCAGTCTGTGCGGGTTCGAATCCTATCTCAAGCGATTTTTTTCTTGCTACGGATGTTGTGATTGTCTGTAGGTGGTAGACGGACTTTGACTGTCGAACGCGAAGGTACCACCCGGCGAATATTTAAGGCGGGCCAGAATGTGTGTATGTTGCATGTGACGTCATCCCCTTTACCCTGTATCCCCCTCACGGTACATAAAGAGCGAGCATCTGGACTACCTCGAACGTCATGGCTTTATTAGCGACAGGCAGTACGGTTTCCGGCACCAGTGAGCCACAGGGGACCTCCTAGCTCACGTCACGCAATTGTGGAGTAAACTCATCCAGCCTTAAGGCCTATTAATACTCAGCCGTGACGAGACAGTGCTGTGACCGGCACGTGATCCGCCAGGCGAAACTAAAAGATTCTTCCTGAAATTTGGATGAACTGATTCACACTAGACCGGCACGTGGAAGTGGTCGTGTTCTCAGTGCCCTCGACGACGCCGTACCGTGATTATCGTATTGTTTTGGAACGATATTTTTCGATTTTCACAGCCGTGTTTTTATGTAATTTCGTAAATGTCTTGATATATTTGGTCAAAAACTTGAATGATGCTGTAGAACCAGTGAAATTAAAAATATATGGACTCCCGTTTTCTTCTCGTTTCTTCTTCTTAAAATTTTGCCATTTCGACCTCACATGAACACAACTGCACTGTCAGAGCACGGAGAAAGATACTGACCGGTGTGAATTGAAAACACTGTGAGCTCACGTCAGCGAGAAGCAATGGCACGTCACGGCACTGTCATGTCACGGCTGAGTGTGAATGGACCTTTATGGTGAGGCACATGTCGTTGCTCTTGATATCACGAAAGCGTTTGATCAGCCGTGGCACGCTTTTTTTATATTCCAACTACCATGAAGGCCTAAGGCCTAAGCACCCATTGGGTACCGAGGGGCTATAGGGGGATACGTGGGAAAGGGGGAACGTCACACGGACTCTGGCGAGGGAACACGTGTGCATGCAACATGCACACATTCTGGCTCCGCCTACGAGAACCGCCGGGTGGTACCTCCGCGTTCGACAGTCAGAGACCATCTACCACCTACGGACAATCACAACATCCATAGCCAAAAGAAAAAATTCTCCTGGGACGGGACTCGAACCGGTACAGCGCACGGCGACTGATCAGGAGACCGAAGAGCCTACTACTGCGGCCACCGCTGCTGCCCTTTTATGCAAACTTTTATCGTATGGCCTCGCAGAAAAGCTTTGCAGATGAGAGGCTGACTTTTTCTTTGGTCGCAGGATATCCGTCGTAATTGATGGGTTCTCCTCTTCATCCCACAACGTCAACGCGGGTATTTTCCAGGGACCGGTCTTGGCTCCGACACTGTTCCTCTTACATTCCTCTAACTACTTTCCTGAATCCACAGCTTTGCTGATGACAGCACTCTACATGCAGGAATTAAGAGTGACAAGCCGATCTCTGCCGCTGAGCTGGAAAAAAGAAGACAAACGACGACTTCCTCTCCGGCGAGCGGTTTTCACGGCTTGGGGATGCAACAATCTTTCACAGTTCAATGCTTCCAAAACACAGTACTGTAGCTTGACGAACAAAAAGCGTCCTAGCGCTCATCCCGTTTTGATGGATGGCGTTCGCTTCAGATAGTCGGAGTCCAGATCACCGGGAATTTGATCTGTCGCGAACACATCTCGTCAATAGCGGCATCTGTTGGGAAAACGCTAGGCTATTTGTTTAGGGCTAAGAAGTACTTTTCTTCGCATGACCTTCTCACTCTATACAAGGCCCAGGTAAGGCCTAGCCTCGAGTATTGCTCACACGTTTGGGGTGCTGCCGCCACGACTACATTATTTTATGCTCGATGCTGACCAGAGGAGGGCTGTCCGACTGATCGACGACTCTTCTCTAGCAGACACTCCCGGAACCCTGTCGCACTGGCGGGCCGTCGGCGATCTAGCGCTCTCATACCGCTACACCAACGGGCTTTGCCCCTCAAAGTTCTCTTCCATGATGTCGCCGCGCGATGTGCCTACCAGACAGACCCGCCTGGCTTTGGCCTCCCATCCTAACCGTGTCGAACGTCGTACATCCAGAACTAGCCAATACGACCGCTCCTTTGTCTCGAGGGTGTCGAGCTTGTGGAACAATCTACAAAAGGAAGCTTTTTCCAGTTTTACTAACCTTAGGCAGTCCAAAAATCGCATTAACAAAATTTCTTTCGGTGTCGCGGCAATTAAGCTTCTGCCTGCGCGGCTGCTTCGGTATAAAAAAAAACGGTACCAATGGGTATATGAAGTACAGAGTCAACTTACTTGACGTTATTTTTTGAATCCGCAGCTGAGTAGAACTTATTAAGCTTAAGCAATAAGTACGTTGTAACAGAGTTTTTAAGTTGAATCTAAGCTACCTTTGATGCTTCAATCTGTAGTTTGTAGTAATACGCAAAATTGTCTAGTGAGTGAGAAGGCTTTGATCTAAATACGTTTCTAGGTTATTTTGGTGAATTTGCGAACTACTTTTCAAGTACGACACTGAAGGTCTTAAAAACTTTTATCATGGGAATCCCTATTCGTAAAAAGTCAATAAAGTACAAAGCTTGCAACATTTTATGGTGACCTATCTGGGCTAGGGATCATTTTAGGACCCATATCCATAGGAATGTTCCTTGTTTCCTTCCTGTACTGTTTTTGAACCACTGACTATGCTCATGTGACCATGCCATGAATAATTTAATACTGCTGCACATCGCCTCTGACATAAAAACTGGAATAAAATCGATACCTCTATCTCGAAGTGATTCCTGACTTCACACGTTCCCTTTCCGTTACAGACGGCTTTTGTTTTTTCTCCGTATATCAGCTGTGTTTGAAAGACGTGCCATTACTCACTCCCATTCATCTGCCTTGTGGCAAGTTGGCATCCTAGGCATTCCACACCATAAGCGCCGATCTGCCACCATTTAAGATACGTTTACGTTTAAACATATCGCTCACACCTGTTCCGGGCGACATATTATTTTATTATTATAAAGATTGATGGACGTGACTTGTTTTTCATAATGAAAACGTCACACATCATCCCAAAAATTCATAACAAAAAAAGTAGCAGTAAAGAATGATAATCTAATTACATACAGATAATGTTTATGAAGTTAACCCCTCGTGAAAGGAAATTTCAACTTCCAGTCCTTGTATTTCAAGAACGATCTTTCTGTCGAAAAAAAATTTTTGGTAGCAAATTTTATAATCTACAAAAAATATTTAGTCTTTAACAGTCTTTATACGCTTAGATTGCCAGCCATGATAAGTGAAAATATCATTGCATGTAACTTTATTCGTGATGTTTTCATAAGCTCTTGACTATACGGAAAAGTTTTGTGGGGGCACGTAGCTACAAAAATTGTGTCTATTATTTTTTACATAGGATAATAGTTAATGCCCCAGCCTTATTAGTATAATCATATTTGACGAAAATGCCCCTGGTTTGCGAAATAATTGTGTAAAAGTCTGGTTTTATTGCTTCAAGTGGTTCAAAGGGGTATTCAAAACATGGACACATAAAATGGGTACACAAATTTTTGTTTGAAAACTTGATCACTATAATCAAATTTTGTAGTTATTTAGAAGTATGAATCCTACGGATTTAAGAATTTCAAGTAGTTGCGTGAAATTATCGTCGAGTTACCAACAAGTGCGAAAACCTGCATTTTGCCTCGTTTTTCGGTCATAACATTTTTGCTATTAGTCGTGTCGTCTCATTTTGACGGTCTACTAAATACCTAAAAATCTTATATGAACAGTTTTTTCATTCCTGTCAACACTTTCGATTGAATCCCAAAAACAGGTTTCCTCATTCTTTGTTGTCAAATAAAAAGTTTTCCCACACAAATGGTGAACCCATATTATGCGTCCATGTTTTAAATACCCCCTTGAACGACTTGCACCAATAAAACCAGACTTTACAATTATTTCGGGGAAATTTGCTAATATGATTAGAATATAAATATACAGGGTGACTTCGAAGTTGAGTCATTTATTTTAACAGTGAGTAGATCTGATCAAAAGAAATGTTTTTTTCCTTTACCATTTTTCTGGTAAAATTAAAGTAACAAAGTTATAGCCCTTTGGAAGTTTGAATACCGCCCTGTCTCAATAATAATATTATGTGCTCGTGTTTGGCGACAACATTCAGTTGTATACAGTCAGTGTCAGTCGGTAGTGAATAGTGGTGTAACTGTTGCGTGGCTCAAACGAAATAAAAAATGGCACATGTTTATGCGGATCGGTTTCCCAATCGAATGCAACCAACCCCTCGTGCCTTTGTTAATGTAGTACAACGGGTTCGTGAATCAGGTGACTTAAGACCTCACATATGGACGGCATGCCGGTGCTCCAAGACCTCACATCAGATACAGGTCCGCACTGAAATACTTGTCGGGAGGATGCTTTATAAGACAAGGTAAATTTTTTTTTTATTTTTACACACATATTTTGGTTTATCTTCCTTCTACAATCACTATCTGAAAATTAATGACTCAACTTCAAAGACACCCTGTATATATATATGTGTGTGTGTATCATGTCGCCAATTTGAGCTTATCATTAGAAAGCAACATTCTAACGTTATCACCAAAAACGTAATCTGTTGCACTTATTGTAGAATTTTGTTATTCAAAATCTCTTTATTCCTTGGCCTACTCGCTCCGCCTATGTTCTTACAGCTGACGTGCCTTTAAAAAAAAATACCGATAAT